AATTGTGTTGGATTTCATAAGATGTCTTTGCGGAGCTCCCTTACTTCCTGCAGCGCTCATTGAAAACGGCGTTGATGATATCTGGGAAGAAGTTGTGGCGTCTGGTTGGAGTGACCCTCTGGGACCGTTATTTGACTACTTCCGTCGAGAGTGGTTGCCTCGTAGGCACGAGTTGTCAGTGTTCAACCAACCAGACCGTAAGGGAGAGTGGGGTAATTCCGGACGTTTTTTTTCTTTTTGGTCTTTGAGCTTGAATATGCTTCTTAGGTTAAATGTTATGACAGGAGAGTGAAGTATGGACCTTTACCTTCAAAACGGTATACATGAAAGCCAAATCTCGGCAACGGTTAGGGAGATATAGGCGCCTAACAAAAGTCCTGCACGTGTCCGGAATTGCCCCAGGCTGGGGTAATTCCGGACGACCTATGGGGCAATGCCGGACGACCTTAAAATTTGACACTACTCGAGCTTACTTTCGCTTGTTTTGATGTGAGGCATGCTTTTAGAAGGCGTTCAAGGACATTTGCTGCGAACTGAAGTGTTTGATTATTACTCAAAGCACATTATAAGGAATAATTTCTATCAAAACCCCTGAATTGACAACACTGTCTTGAGTAAAGCTCTTAAACATAGCTGCAATGCTAATTTTCGTTCTTTCTTTATCCTTCTTAACGGTGGGGATGCATGTCCACAATTTTGAACCCACTACCTTAACATTATGCGGGAAATTGAAGAAAATAACCCTTATTGTCCGGATTTACCCCACAGGTAGTGAAAACTTTTGATGTTCAACTGAAAGAAAACGGCGAGCCATACGAGCACTCCCGAAATGCCAAAGTAAAGTCCAATGACCATATAATATGATAAAATTTTAGTCATGGGACTGAACTTGACGGTAAGGTACGATAAGTACATGGAAATACGAGGGAAGGATGCAGCGTTTGCCTATTTTTGATGGTACTCAAATTTCGTGAAGCGACCACAGGCAAACGGTTTGACCTCCTACTTTGGCGATTTGGAATTCTCCTTTTAAACTGATTATCTTCCTCTATTAGGCGGGCTTTTGAGTTATCTTCACTCAAACCCAGTGAAAATCGAAGTGTCCGGAATTACCCCGTGTCCGGAATTACCCCACTCTCCCTTACTAACAACATGTCAGAAAGTGATAACCACATGTTGGGGAACTTGGTTCCTCAGAACAGACCAAATGCCTGGCGCTTAATTGGTATGAAATGGTTTATTATCCCAATTAATTAAGTTCAAGGTTGAATTTTGCTGTCAATGTTCATCTCACATAATTTTTGACCTTAAAAAGAATCTGAATTTTTGACAAGGGCCTGTTTAAACTGCTTGTGATGGGACAGCTTTCTGACAAAAGTCATGCTCTTGGGAATATAAATTTGCCCAGTTACCGTTTTTGCTATTAACATCAACAAACCAAACTTTTCTTCATGCTTTTATAACACAGCTCCTTTATTACAGGTGGATTTGTTCAGTCAGAACACTTGTCTTACAGTGACTTATTAGCCGTCGAAGCTGGTGGTACAGTCAATGGGGCAAGAAGATGGAGGGCTGCTGCAAATGATGCAACAATAACAAGACTGTCAAACCTTCTTATAAGGAATGAAATCACCCCAGCAAGGTTTCTCCATAGTGTGTCATACACTATACAGGCAGGATTAAATCATGGTCTTCGCATTGGAAACAATGAAAATGATGAATCCAGTGACTCAAGTAATGATGAATCCAGTGACTCAAGTGATTCCGATGATGACTGATCTGTTTCACTCATGCAAATGCAAGCTGTAATTGATCTCTAAAGTGCTATCACCTCTGACAACAGTTGTTGTTTTACAATACTAATTAGTAATAATTTTACATGATGTCAGTTTGCTTAGGTACAATAAAAATTGTATATTAATTCAAATGGTTTACCTTAAATTTTATTCCACCTTCTCATCACCAAAATTTATTTGTTTGAGGCTACAGTGGAGCAGAAATAGGTCTTCTTCCGCCCTAGGACCTCCATTTTTATTAATCACTCAGAGTTCATTTTTTGAAACTCAGAACTATAGTCACTAGTTTATTTCAATGTGTCATGGTGCTCGCCAGTTGTCCTTTAACTGTGTGCAACTCCTAAAAATGAGTAAAGCTTAACACGAATCAATTTGTCATTCTAATTCTGGGAGCCTTGGCGACAACTACCTTGATGAACTCGTTCAGACATTTGGGCGTTTGATAAATGATTGACTAAACGTACATCTTTGGGCCAAATTTTTAATAAATGTATTTGACAAAAGCATGACAAAAACACAACTCACACACCCAATACTGCTCCACAACATACCATGTACTTTTGTGATGGAAAATTTAGAAACTTCACATTCTTAACAAGCAAGGAAGTTGATGTAATATGAGACTTTGAAACTTGACCAGGTTTGTGCCCGTGTGACACTCATACAGCACATGAAACATTTAAGGATGACCAGGAGCAACAGCAGGTGAGTCATCAATTGTTACAGAGAACATCCACTGCACAGGTGTGCATCCACAGACTCCAATTACCCCCATGTGGATAATTCAATTACCCCCATGTGGATAATTGAATGTTGAGTGGTGCAAAGCAGGGAAGGGTGGGTCCTGGAACATGACAGGAGAAAAAGTCAACATATGAGAAGGATGAGAATACGAAGCTGGTGCTGGTGCAAAGCTGGACCCTGCCAGAACTCCAAATAAATTCAGTCAAGCACTGTTGTGATTCGGATTAACCACAATTAACTAAAATAGCTGCCACAGTTTCACCGTCAAACATGCATTGGTTGAAAAAACAAACAATGCGATTATTCAAAGTGCAAAGTGACTCCATTAATGACAGGAAACAAATGTAGACCATCACGGAATTGACAATAGTCTAAATAGGAAATAAAACCTTTGGTTGAAAACTAACTGGTAAACACGATTACTTGGTGGAAAGGCAGTGGGATACATTACCTTCTAATTCATACGTTGAGTCGAATCTCAGAAGAGACAGGTTTAGAACGCAGAACCATGGCATGTAGTAAGCAATCGGCTTCAAAACTTCAAGCAGACAGAATCAGCCACACTAAAAAAGACAGAACATGATGAATCCTTCATTTAATTTTTCTACACTGCATCTTAATGACTCAAGCAGTCCAAACTAAGAGCTAAACACAAGAAAAGAAACTTCCACTTCACGCACAGTGTCACAATGACAAGAGAATATTTGTAGCGTCGATACTAATGGGTCTAGTGGTGAGTGCATTTTGGTGTCGAAGTGACGTTTTAAAACAAAACAAGTGATTCATAACCTAAGCCCGAATGGAATGTGACGGTAACCAAATCAACAGGGCAAAGCAACTAAGCACAGCGCTTAAAATTAAATTGATTGAGCACCTCTAAGTGCCCGAAAGAAAACTGGACTGATAAGGATACTTGCCAACAAAGACGAGGCGATGGTTCTCGACGAAAGGCGATGGAGAGCAACAGAGCGACGAAAAGGTTAACAGTGCTGGCTGTTGGAGAACGGCTGACGACGGACACTGCAGCTATCGATATTCAACTCAAATATCCAAGAGATAGTTACTTTCTTTGAACAAATATGTACTGTTAGGCATTGCCGCGGACTTTGTTTTTTTTTTAAGGGGGCTCATACATGTTAAAAGCACTTAGTAAAAAATTTCTTTTGATGTAGACGGATCAAGATTTTACAATTTCTGTGTTAAAACCCTTTTAGATAATTGAGTAAGCTTCATTTTGGCTTAAAGGAAAGTGACTTTGGACATTTTTTGGAGATTTAGTCGAAACGTTTAAAATTTTGGTTCTCGTAAGATTTTGTTCGCATACTTGCTCAGATCTGTGGGGAAAAAATCAGGGAGACTCATCCCTAGTAGTGTCATAGAATTGACTACAATGGGCTTTATATCTACAATAGTTTTCAAGAAAAAAAATAAAAACAATTTTTTTAACGATTTTTTGAACAAATTTTTTAACAAAAAATTGTTTTTATTTTTTTTTCTTGAAAACTATTGCAGATATAAAGCCCATTGTAGTCAATTCTATGACACTACTAGGGATGAGTCTCCCTGATTTTTTCCCCACAGATCTGAGCAAGTATGCGAACAAAATCTTACGAGAACCAAAATTTTAAACGTTTCGACTAAATCTCCAAAAAATGTCCAAAGTCACTTTCCTTTAAGCCAAAATGAAGCTTACTCAATTATCTAAAAGGGTTTTAACACAGAAATTGTAAAATCTTAATCCATCTACATCAAAAAAAATTTTTTTACAAAGTGTGTTTAACATGTATGAGCCCCCTTAAGTTGTAAACAAAAACTTCTTCTGCTTGTACGCAATGTGAATATGCATCTACTCAGCACCGCACCGAGGCTACTTAGCACGACGGCCCGCTATGAGAAATTCCACGTGCGGCCCTGCATAGCCTCCGCTAGGGGACGATAATAATTTATTCTTCCGATTATTTCCACACAAGAGTTTGCCCCAGCAGAGGAATAATTTCTAGGGAAAAAATATTCTAAAATATTCTAAAATATTCTGGGATATTTCAAAATATTTTGGGAATATTTCTGAATATTTTTGGATTAATCTGGAACATTTTCCAAAAGGATCGGCTTATTATATTTATTCAATTAATTAAAAATTAAATAATAGAAAATCAGGGGGGTACGTCCCGACGGGGGTACGTCCAGGCCGTGCCCCCACCAACCTTACCAATGAATCATGACGTTCAGTTACAACATAAATGTACAGTACTACACCTTTTTCATGGTCATTTCTCGAAAGTTATGAATCATTTGTCATATGTTTAACAGTGATAAACAGTAATCAAAGACAGATACTAAACACTAAATTAAATCCAAACACTGCGAAACTTAAAAAAATGAAAGATTCGTATATTTCTGGTAAACAGAACGGGTCAGTGCTAGAGCTCCCCCCTCCTAGAGCTCCCCCCCCTATTTTCGACCTTTTCTTAAATTAAATGGAATTAAATAAAATTAAATATGATTCAATAAATAAAATCTGACTTAATCAATTTGTTGGATACAACCTACGAAAATGATAGTATTATTTTTTAAATGTGCCTAAATGCATTTCTTTTATTTCCTGAAATAAAGCAGAATTATTTCAAAATAGATATGTTGCTCTAAATAAATTGTTTTTATCGAGAAAATAAAATAAATAAAAATAATGATGGTCACAATCATCATCATTACCATTTTTAATTATAATATTTTTTATTGTAATTTTTTAATGTACGAACCAAGACAAGGCCAGTCAGCATGAGGATTTGATTGTCCGAAAGTTTCTGCTCTCCAGCGAATATGTCGAAGGTCTTGGATTGGAGTAGAGTGAGTAGAGTCCTATAGGGGCCTTTGGGACTCTAGGTTAGGTTGCGGAACGTGCGTCGCGATAATTCTCATACCAGTCGCAGCACTTCTCTTGTAGCCTCTCTGCAAGCAGCGTTTCGACCCTGAATGCGATCAATGTGATGCAAGCCTTGTGCAAGCCAAAGCCTACGTCGTTGGCAAGACAATAATGAATTTAACTGTTCATTAAACATTTAATATTTGTGAATACACGTGTGTAAAAAGATACGTATTTGTCAAGCGGCCTTTAGTTACCGCATTTGTGTTTTGTTACGTCTGCATGGATAACGCAAAGGAAGCCTGTTGGTAAGTACGGACGGAGCGGTTCGCTGGTAATAAAGATCCAACCATTTTCGTTTCGAATCATTCTACGTTACGGAAACAGTCACTCAGAATGCTATCTGCTCTTTTCTCTGGTCTTGCTCTTTCAATCCTTGTCATTATTCCTTGTATCGTAAGTGGCGGGCGAAAGTCGTATCGCACCTGTTGAAGCTGTTCATCATAACCTGTGAAGTGTTGGCTGTCTGTTGTAGGATGACATAGCTCTGTGTACTGACGCCAATCTTATTGTTCTTCCTTTTCTTTTTGCAGTCTCCTCAAGCAGTTTTACAGTAATGTGGAGGATTCAAGAAACTTCCGATTTGGTGGGCATTTAACGGCCTGCTGTCCACAATGTAAACCATACCATCGAGTTGGAAAGCTCATTGCACTTTTAACAGAAGAAGGTTCATCTGCTTTAAAAATCTTTGAAGAGAAATGCGCCCGTCTTCCGATCGTTTATCTGGACTGTGTCAAGGAATGGAATGTCAATGAAAGCCTCTATATGATAGGGCTTAGTGCTTGGCATTTTGTGAAGCCCTACATCAGCTTCTTCAGCCAAGATCTCAGCATTAAGATAGGCACTGCCAGCCCATGCCTTCTTCATGCTCCAATTCAAACAAACTTGGTCTGGCATGTAGTGAAGGGCTTCCCACATGAGGAGAGGGGAGTCCCCTTTGAGAATACAAACAAAGTTTGGTATGTTGCTGGTTTCTGCCAAGTGAGGCTTTGGTCGTACTTTGATGACGTCTTATGTGTTTTGATTCTTTCTCAGGTTAAAAATCCCGGCTAGATTTGACAAATCTTTTCAGTCTTTAGTGATGAACCTTCTCGGGCTGTTTGTTTACAAAACGTTTTGCACTATGGGAGACTTTGGTTCTTGGAATTTGAAAGTAAACACATTATCTTCTCGAGTGCTCTTTGGTGTAAGTGCTGCTGTTGGTCCTCAATGTTAAGTCATTCAATCATGTCAAGCGTAAATTTTTTGCTGTCTCCTCAGGTTGAATCTGATGAGCCTGTCGCTACATACTTCGCTGGCCTCAGTAGTTATGGAGTTGGAGATGAGTCAGGTCAACAGTATACATCAAAGTCAATTTTTCAACCAAATAATATTGGGTAAGTGGTGCTCCTGTCTTATTCTCAAGTTCATATATATACATGTATCAGTATTAATATGTTATTGTCTGTAGGATGGAGACTGTGGCTGCTGAGTTGGTGAAAGGCAGATCAGGAGGCCACAAAGACGTCGAAACAGCTGCATCACAACTGAGTGTGTACGATGTACGTTTCCATAAGTCTTGTCAATACCCTCTGTCTTTTTTCTTCTTTAATTTTCTTGGATGTGTCATTTCCCATTCCATTTTAATCAAAAGCAACTTACCTTTTACATCCTGTGTTCTTAAAATCATCTCTGCAGGGACCTGTCATGAATTTTTTAGTGTTCAAATGGATGGAAAGAGTGGTTGTCTTGTCAGAAACGAAGCTTAATTGTTTTAGTTGTAGCCAGTGTTATATACCTTTTAGCAATGGTTCTCGAAAGACTGAAGGAATTCATTCAAGTTCACCTTGGAAATTTTTGAGGAAGAACTTTGTTGCGTTATGTCAACTCTCGTATCTTTCCAACCAGCAACCCCTGTTTCCAAAACTAATGCATTATTTTATTTTTTGGTCCCTTTCCCTAATGAGAGTATTTTTCTGTACACTTTTACTGTATGATACAGAGGTTCTGGGTTAGATTTCAGTATGAAGTTTGTTTTTTTTTGTGCTGTTTGCAGGTGGAGGAGGAAGTTTCTTTGCACGTTATCAAACAGGAGATAAAAGACGAACTTGAACATGATCCTGATGTAATGCCTCTTACCCTAGTGTCACAGAGGGAGGGCATTCAGAAGAAATCAGCCTTCCCAATAGTTAAGTGCCCTGGATGTGCATCTGCCTTTCACGTTAGCAAGCCTGGGTTGGACGCTCTATCCCACCACATTGTGAATAGTCACAAGAGGTATGCCAAGTTGTACAGACACAGTCTGAGGTTCGCAGCTCAGGGAGGCCATGGTCCTCAATCAGACCGAGTAAGATCATGGAGGGGAAGGTCAAACCACCATAGTTTGTGCACCAATAGAGTGTTTCAGAAGTTTTAGTCGATTATTCCCTTTAGCATGGTGTCTACAATTTCTGCTTTGTACTAATTTTTTTTTAAAGTGAAGTGTGCTTGTGTTTTATTCTTGTCCAATCTTGTTTTGGTTGTATTGTGTGTGAGTTTGTTGCTACTTCAAGTTTTTGTTGGCCTGTAAGGCATTTTAAAATTTTATATTGTATTGTTACAATAATGAATTTGAAACATTAGCATTTCACCCTGTTTCAAGCTGAACCTCCACTGGATTCCAGTTTAACTGAATGAAAGTGGCCGAAGGCAAGCAGTGGGCTGACATGAATCAGAATAATGTATTGTGTAAGGTTTTGATCATTGTTCATCAATTTGCTTTTTCATCACCATGTTTCTTGTCTGTTTGAGTACTTTTGCTTGTGGAAAAGATTCACCTGCCTTCAACAGTACATTTATAATTTAGATATTTTAACTGTCTTTACCAGAAGATGCACTAGCTCCCAATCATTTGTCCTTTGTATTTTTATTTGGTGTGGACTCTGAGTTTCTTTTCAAACCGAGTGTTGTCTGCCCTAATTTTGTCCAACAACATTCAGGGCTAGCTTGAAAACGAACATCTTGTTACATTCCTTTTTGACCTGTGTTAATAGAGCTCTAGGGCATGTTTGTTTCAATGTTTCTTATGTTTACCTGTCGAAGTTATCTTGGCCCTCAGCTTTCCATTGGGCTTTTTTTATATGTAATATGTGGCTGTGTTATGAAGTATGTGTGTTTCATTCACCTTGTATGTGCTCTCATCACCCATCTCGCATAGCCACCTGTGCAGCGTCAAACTTTCCTCATATTAAAATGAAACCCATTCAGTAATCTAGCACTCATTTCACTGATCCTCAACTTGGAAACATGTCTTGAAAACAGAAAGCTTTAAGGTGAAATCAATTATTATTATTTGTGTCATCTCCTGAAAGTGGTGTACGTTACCAGTCAGAAATTGTAAATCAGGTAATTTCTTTTTTAAATTAATTGTTTTTTTTTTTCTTAGTTCCTAGTTCCTTTCTAGTGAGCTTCCAAAAATAAGACAGTCTGATGGGGTCTTAGTTTTTGCCATCGCTCTAGTTTTTTAATTTACAGGCGTGAATAAAATTCACTGTTAGATTAGACTCTCCTGTGCCAAGTATAATGTGGTCCCTTCCGTTGCCAATGCCCAAACCGCCGCATAAGACGGCGGGGTCGGTAGCACGTCCTCGTAGCACGTTTGTATCGCTTGGCGCGCTAGCAGCGCGTGGCTGCCGCGGTCGCACGTCGCAGTCGCATGTGGATTGCAGGATTGCCAATCGTCCCGGGACGAAGCTAATTTTTTTTTGTATTTGTCCCGGCGCGTAAAAATTATACATGCATTTAAGTATGTCCAGTTTATTATTACTAGTATCTCGCTGTGCATTTGAGTTCTGGCTTTCTGATTTGACAGATGTGCTCGAAGGACGCCATGGTCCGCAACAGTTGGTACCTTCAGAACGCACGTAACTCTTCCGCTTCCGACTGAGGGTCCCCTTTCAGTGAACTTCCTCCTCTCCTTCATTCTGTGAAAGCGCGTGGTCGAGGTAAGATGCTTTTGTAATCTGCTGCTTAATGAGCGATCTTTAACATTTTGGGGCACAGCGTCTAGTTTCCTTGATCACCGATCCTCCCTTAACTTCGCTTTCATCATCTCGTGGATCTAGTCGTCCCGTTTCATTTAATTCTGAACTACTAATTATTGAGGTTATCCAAGTGAGCCCGCTTGTTGTGTGTGTCAAAAGGTACATTCATTAAGCTGTTCAATGGGAGCCTCATGTTTAGTGGGCCTGCTTATTTCTTCTCGTCAATGAGTTGAAGTTTGCCGTCCATTCGCGCTCATCGGTGCATCGTTGCCCGGTGCGTTCATTCGAAATCGATGCCTCTTGGCGTGCTCCACTGCGCCGTTCGAGTGGTTTCGAAGCATGTGGCTCGGGGCAATCTGTTCACATTCTTATGCATTCCTGTCGTGTTTTTTTTTTGCATCAAACTTTTGGGTGGGCGTTTTATATCGAACGTCCTGCTTGCGGTCAGGTTAGGGCCCCCATTTTGCATTTGCGTTCTCACTGAGAAAGCAAACGCGGCTAATTCCGTGGTGCGGACGCGGTTTCGGCCACGTTTGTTTCGCCATTGCTGAGGAAGTGCGTGCGCGTTGAGCGGATTTCAGGCTTGAGTGAAAATTGACCCAGTTTTTGGCGGAGTCGGCCCCTTTGGTACGAAGTCACCTGTGTTTCTCGGATCCACGCCTTCAACCACTGTTCTTCTTGGGCAAGGGGATGGTAGATGTGCACTCGTTCCAGCTGTGCACGTTTGTTTTATCATGATCCACCTACTCGCTCTTTTATTGTTAATGAATTTTGAAAGCGGGTCTCACGTTATTTCAATGGTTATTGGACTGGAAGTCGAAAGATGGCATTTTGGCAGAAGTAGACCGTAACCTCGCACACAGACGAAGATTATAACCAAATCTGTCACAATTTTGCTTTGTGTTCCTAGCTTACCATCTGTACTGCCTCTGCTCACACGGAGTGAGAGGTTGGATTTCGGCCAATGTGGCATGTTTTGACTTCAGGTCCAAGAAAGTACACTTTTGAATCAAGTTATGTATTCAGTAGGACCTGTTTTTTTCCCAAGTTTCCATTTTCCAATGTGTTGCTTTGGTTTCTGGTTCCCCTTTTTAATAAGTGGAGTAGCACCAACTTTTGTGGTACTCACTTGAAAATACTTCACTCAAATGTGTTCAGTTGCTTTTGGTGCTCCTTGTTAAGCATGTCATCGAAGTTGTAGTTCTAACTTGAAATTTTTGTTGTTTCAGAATGGATATCGGTATGGAGGAGCTTAGGCGGCGACGCCTGGAGGCGCAGGCAAGAATTGCAGAGGAGAGGATGCAGCGGGAGAGGATGGAACGGGAGAGAAGTGCATCCCATCACAGGTTAGTATAACAGCTGTTTCGTTATGCATGTTAGACTGTATTGTATTTATGATCTAATATTTTTTTGGCTGCACTTCATCCGTTGCGTAACGAGTTAAATTCTTTGCTAAGCCCTCTAAGTTTAATTCTTTATTTTTGTCTCCTCTCTTGGCAGACACTGTTTATAAACAATAATAAACTTGGAACTTTCTGTCTCCAATAAATGGTTGCTATAACTTTAAAGTGGAGAAGCCATTAGCATGAATTTATACACCTTCTGCCTGTTTCATCAAGGACAATGTACATCTTCTTTCATTTGCGTTAATTTGTTATACATTGAATTTCGAATAAATACTCTCCTGTCTTGACTTACTGTGAAAGAGACATCCATTTTTGTAGGAGTTAACAGTCGTTCGCTGTTTGTTACAATGTAGTATTTGACCTCTGTTTTTTTTTTTTGTTTTTTCAGTGTTGCTGACCCAGTCGAGAACAGGGGTGTCCCTGCTCCTACAGCCGCTGCCACAGCTGCGAGCGCCCTTGCTGCTACAGTGGCTGCCACACCTGCGAGCGCCCCTGCTTCCACAGTGGCTGCCACACCTGCGAGCGCCCCTGCTTCCACAGTGGCTGCCACAGTTGCGAGTGCCCCTGCTTCTACAGTCGCTGCCACAGTAGAGAGACCTGGTGCTCCCGTTAACTGGTAAATAAAATTCTGTTTTGAAACTCATTTGCTGTGCTGTTTTGTTAGGACCTTGCTTATTTATCAATTGGTAGCTTAGAAACGGTCTCAATACCTTTTACACGAAGTGTTCTCAATGTACAGGAGGGCCTTCTGCCTGTTTCATCAAGGACAATGTACATCTTCTTTCATTTGCGTTAATTTGTTATACATTGAATGTCGAATAAATACTCTCCTGTCTTGACTTACTGTGAAAGAGACATCCATTTTTGTAGGAGTTAACAGTCGTTCGCTGTTTGTTACAATGTAGTATTTGACCTCTGTTGTTTTTTCTTGTTTTTTCAGTGTTGCTGACCCAGTCGAGAACAGGGGTGTCCCTGCTCCTACAGCCGCTGCCACAGCTGCGAGCGCCCTTGCTGCTACAGTGGCTGCCACACCTGCGAGCGCCCCTGCTTCCACAGTCTCTGCCACAGTGGAGAGACCTGGTGCTCCCGTTAACTGGTAAATAAAATTCTGTTTTGAAACTCATTTGCTGTGCTGTTTTGTTAGGACCCTGCTTATTTATCAATTGGTTACTTAGAAACGGTCTCAAAACCTTTTTACACGAAGTGTTCTCAATGTGCAGGAGGGCCTTACAAGTTCACAAATAATTTACTTTGTTTCTTCAATAATTAATTGTTACAATCTTTTCCGGAGGAACCCTCCATTATCCAAAGATGGGTTTCAATGCTTCCTGCTTGTTGATGGTGGAGATTTATAAGCTGCTGTTTGTGTTTGTCAATGGCTCATAATTTATCAATTGCGGACTGGTCACCGCTGCTTTTCATTTAGTAACTTCTCCGCAGCTTCTTGCCAAATACCCAAATTGTTAGCCTTGTTAAGACACAATATTTAACAAATTGTTTTTTACAGTGTTGCTGCACCAGCCGCTCCTCTTGATGTCGCTGTGCCTTGCAGCCTGCCACTCAAATTTGAAGGAATGCCAGCCTCAGTCAACATGGTGTGTGTGCGAGCTGAAGGTACGTTGAAGTGAGAGCTTTCTGACTTCTCTGCTTACATCTTAGTCATTCTTTTAAATTGTGCTTTATAAGTGTGGATCTCTTTGGGATTAATTTGGGAGCATTGACCAAAGGTTTACATAAACCTCTAACTCAAAAGCTTATGGGAGTTCACGGTTTGAACCTTGGATATAAACTTATCTACCATTGATCAAATTTTAACCAAATTTAAACTTTTGACCATTGGGTCCTGGGAAAAAAAAAGTGACAGAAAGTTTGAACTTCTGTATCTTATGTTCTGTGTTCTTCTGTTTCAGATCTCTTTTCACTCGTGCAGAGGCTGTCAGCCGCAGCTCACCCTGCTCCAAGGGCTAGGTCCCCATCTCCAGACATAATCTTCATGGATGAGCCCACTGCGGGGAACATAACGCCCTCTCCATCCAGGTCTCCACGTCCCGACTATTCTTGGCTCCAAGAAGAGTCTCCTCGTCCAGTGTTCAAAGTGGATACCCAGCCGCTGAGACACCGCTCGAGGTCTCTGTCTCCTCCAGCTCGCTTGGCTGGCCCTAAGAAGAGGGCGTTATCAACCATTGGGGCTCCAGACTCGTTCCTGGCTTCCAACCCAAGTCCTGGAAGAAGCTCAACATCCCCCGCC